AAAGATGCTAAGATAGAAATAAAAGATATACTAAGTAGAGACAATTTTGGGTCTTATGTAACTTTTACTTTATCTTCTGCAGTTTGTGTTTTTCATTATGTTTGTGTGCATTTTCATTATGCTGACTTATGCCAGGTATTAGGGCCCCTAAATGTTTCCTCATATTTCATTGATAAGCTTTATAGTTTTAGGTTTCACATTAGGTCTTTGATGTATATGTGGTGAGATATGGATTCCTGTTTCCTTCTTTTGCAAGTAGATATCCAGTTTTGCCAGCAGCATTTGCTGAAGAGACCATCTCTTCCCCATTTAATTTTTCAACCCGCTGTCAAAGATTAACTGTCTGTTATTGTTAGGTGTCATTGAGTCACTTCTGAATCGTTGTTGTTGTTGGGTACTATTGAGTACCAAGAGTGCTTCTAGAGAAATAAAATCATAAATATGGGCTTCTTAAATTGGCTCTCCAGCCTGATTAGTTTTAACACTAGTGATGCTACTTCAACACCCCACTCCTGCTACCAAAATGTGTTAGACAGGGTTCTCTAGAGAGATAAAACCAGATTGCTAATATATAGATATAGATAGGTAACACAAGAAATAAACAGTTAAATTATAAAGCAGTACAAATGGCTCAGTACAATTCAAATGTGTTAGACATTTGTGAGACACTGGCAGTCCTTCAAGTCTTGAGGACTGCCAGGTAGTCCTCTGTAGAGAGACTCAGGCTATTCAGGCACAGGCAGCAAACAGCAAGGCAGATCACCAACTGTCAGCCAGGTCACCAACAGTCAGTCCCCAGCTCAAGAGATGTAAATTCCAATTGCGTGGCGAAGCAGGCCCTGAAGGAACCTCAAATTACAGCGACACAGTCCACAGGTTAGGTGTCCCATAGGTAGTGTAGCTTGCAAATTGAGGCACAGAGCAGGCAAGGCAGCTGCACACTGGCCCGATGATCAAAGACCGAGAGACAAGAAAGGCGAGGCTCGCCGAGCCATTTATCTCTCCACCCTTCAATTAATCCCACATGTGTTTATCGGCCAGGCTGGCACAATAAACCAACTACCTCACTCATAGCGACACTGTGCACAATACAACAAAAGACCGCACAGTGTGTTGCCATTCTCATGATTGCTTTTGCGCTTGAGCCCATCAATGCAGCCACTGTGTCAATCCATTTTGTTGAAGGTCTTCTTCTCTTTTGCTGTCCCACTACTTTGCCAAACATGATGTCCTTCTCCTGGGCCTGGTCTCTCCTTATAAAATGTCCAAAGTTCTTGATATAGTCTCACCCCCCTTGCCTCTAAGGAGCATTCTGGCTGTACTTCTTCCATGATAGATTTGTTGGTTCGGTTGACAGTCCGTGGTACTTTGTACCAGTCTTTTGTTTCTCTGGCTAGATTTACTCCTCAGTATTTCCTCTTGGGGGTAGCTTTATATTGTTTGCCCAATTTCCTTTTCAGAGCTCTTTTTGTTAGGATAAGGGACTCAATTGAGTTTTGTATGTTAATCTTGTCGCCTGCCCTTTGGAAACTATTCCATTACTTCCAACAATTTTCTTGCCGAGTCTGGAATTTTCCGTGTACAGTATCACATCACCTGCAAATAGAGCTTTACTTCTACTTTGCCAAGTTAGATGTCTTTAGTTTCTTTTCTTTAAAAAAATTTATGGACATTAACATTAATTTTTAATGTTAATTTGATAATTCAAGCAAAATGTCAGTTTTAATCCTTTCCATTCAATTAAATATCATAAGTATCATTTTATTCATGTCTCTCCAATTGTTCACATATAGGTTATCTAAGGGAAATTTTGTAATCAAAATTTACATTTGCCAAGAAGTTAAAATGGCTATCACAGCCACAGGATTATAATTAATATTTTGCTCATAGAATCCTTAAATGTGTAAATGTGTGACCTGAAGCTTTCTTCAGTACTTTCAGATTGAGATATGCTGAACATGTTCTTCTCTTTTGGCTTTCTAATGGCCGGTCTCGGCACATTTCATTCTAATGCTTTATTTTCTCAAACTGCCCTTTGAAATCTTTGCTCGGCTCCTTACTTCACCATTTTGCCCATTTACTCTAACTCTTTATGTTCACGATATATGTTTTGGTCTTTTTCTTTATTTCCTGTCTTTTTAATGACCTTTTGCTTTCTTCATGTATGGTGCCCTTGATGGCAGCTTGCACCTCATGTGGACTTCAGCCATTAGTTTTCAATGTGCCAGATCTGTTCTTGAGGTGGTCTCTAAATTCAGGTGGGTTATAGCCAACATTGATTTAATTTTCTTCAGCTTTGGCCTGAACTTGCATTTGAGCAGTTGATGACCTGTTTCACAGTCGGTCCCTGGCCTGTTTTGGCAGAACAGTTAGTGATATCTGTTCTCTTCCCACAAATGTCCTCACTTTGATTCCTGTGTATTTTATCTTACGAGGTTCATGTATTTAGCCATTATATGCTATTGAAAATAGATTTTTTCAATGAAGGATCATTGGTTTTGCAAAATTCTATCATGTGATCTCCAGCTTCATTTCTAACAACAAGGTCATATTTTCCAACTACTGATCCTTCCTCTTTGTTTTAAATTTTTGAATTCCAATCACAAGTCATTGTCAGTGCATATTGATTTCATGTTTGACCAATTTCTGACTGACAATGTGGCTAGAAATCTTGTTTTTCCTTCACTCTCTTTAGTGGTTGGTGCATAGATTTGAATCCCAGTTGTAGTATCTATTTCTCCTTATAGGTGTTTACATATAACCTCTCAAAGCTAGCATCGATTTCCAGATAGGTCTTGAAATATTTTTGTTTTTTAAGGAAATAAGACAAAATTCTTTTTGAATTTGTCATTCCTGGCATAGTAAACCATGTGATTGTATAATTCAGAGTGGCCAACACCAGTCCATTTTAGCTCTCTAATGCTTAGGATATCAATTTTTATGTGTTCCATTTTGTTTTTGATGATTTACAGTCTCCTAGATCCATATGTTTTGTATTCCATTTTATGATTATTAATGAATGTTTGAGTTTTTTCTTATTATTATTTCGAGTGGTCCCCATCAGCAAATGATGTTCCTGAAGCGTTTGCTACATGCATGTTATTCAGTATGAATCTCTTTTGAGGCAGGAGGCTTTTCCCCAGCCTTATTTTAAGTGCCTTCCAACCTGAGGGCTTCTTCTTATGGCACAATCTCAGACAATGTTCTGCTGCTGTTCATTAGGCCTTCAGTGGCTACTCTCTTAGCAGCAGATCAGCTATTTCTTCTTCCTCCCCTGTTCTCAGTCTGGAAGTCTTGCTGAAACCTTTGCTGGCCCTGAGAGTATTTGAAATATTGGTGGCATAGTTTCCAGCATCACAGTAACAGGCCAGTACAATAAAGTGGCAGACAAGTGGTGGTGGATATACCAATATCATACGCATATACCGTATATTTTCTTTCCCGGTTTCCTTAAAACCAGTTGACATACCTTTGCTAGATGCCCGGCCCAAAAAGTTACAATCTAGCTCTATAAACCCACTTGGTTCCACCTGAGAATACATGCATTCCCTGACATCTTTGGGGTCCTCATCCCCATTCATGATGGTATGGTTTTAAGATTACATATGGGGTTGGAATTGACTCCATGACAATGAATGAGTGACTGAGACATCATTGCTCTTATCATTAGCTGATTACTACTTGCAGTTTTCTGTTTTGCTGAGGACAAAACAGAATTATGGAAAGGTAGATAATTGTGCAAGGTCTTCTAAATCACCATTTCTCCGTATAATGTTCATTTTCTAGGAAGGTAGAGATGTTAAGGAACAACTTTCTTCCTCTCCACATTTCTCAAAGGGAAAATAAAAAAGAGAGTAACCTACTTATTTAGTGATCTACATTGAGCTTTCTTAATTAAGGGCATTATTTGCATGTTAGTTCATCTTTTTTACATTAAGTAGAACTCTTTTTAATAGCTAAGTATATCTTAATACACTAGAAATCCAAATGCATTGTCATAGAGTTGATCATGACTCCTGTTGACCCTGCACAGTGTTTCCAAGGTTGTAAATCTTTATGGGAACAGACAATCTCACCTTTCACCCAAGGAAAGACTAGTACATTTCAGCTACTGACTTTGCATTTAGCAGGCCAGTATTTAACCCATAATGCCACTTGGGCTCCGTACTTTGACACAGGTCATTAAAAAGTCATTTGAAATCAATGCATGTGGAGTTGATAGATGAAATATTATGGAACTTGCTTATTCTCAATGGAATCAAAGCAATACATACTCATGAAAACTCCATATGCAATAAGTAGGATTTTCTTGGCCGAAATCTTTATGGAAGCAAATTGTGAGATCTTTCTTCCTTGACACTACTGGACAGTAGTGCCAACCTATAAATGAGTTGTAGAATAGAAGCCATTTGCACCACTCAAGGATCTTAGCAAGATAATAAACCAAACTCCAAACTCGCTGCCATCAAGTCAATGCTGAGTCATAGCAACTCTCTGTGAGTTTCCAAGACTGGAGCTGTTTACAGGAGTAGAAAGCCCAGTCTTTCTCCTGAGAAAATACTCATGTTTTGGACTGCAGACCATGTGGATGGCAGCCCAACTCATAACCACTATACCACCAGGGCTCCATTAGCAAGAGAGTAGAGTGACTAAAAGCTTCATGATAGGTAGGACTGAATATGAAAAGCAAAAACTCACCATCATGGAGTCAGTCTGACTCCCAACAACTCTGTAGAATAGGGTAGATTGCTCCTGTGGCTTTCTGAGGCTAAAATGTTTACGGGAGCAGAAATCTCCCACTCTCTCCCAAGGAGTGGCTGGTAGTTTGAATGGCTAACCTTGTGGTTGGCAGCTGAACATGTAACCCTCCAAGGCACCTAAGGATTGAATATAGTAAATATAAATGTAGGTTACTATATAGCTGGCTTTTCTTAATTTCATTATTACTTAGAGAAGAAATCTGTAGAAACATAAATTTTCTCCTTTCTTGTTTCTTCTAGTCATGGCCTCCTGCCTTGCAGGTCCTTCTGTGAGGCTGCAAAGGAGGGCTGTGAATCAGTCCTGGGGATGGTGAACTCCTCTTGGCCTGATTTCCTCACATGCTCCCAGTTCAGGAACCAAACAGAAAGCAGCAACAGCAGCAGGATTTGCTTCTCACCGCAGAACGAGAAAGGAAAGCAATGTAGGTATCTGGGTTTCAATTCCTTGACAAAAGCTTTATCAAATTATGCCATTCATTAAGCAACGGACATAAACAAACACCATCAAGTTCAACAGATTTTGCAAAGTAAATAATTCTGTGTACCAGGACCTAGGTTAAGAAATAGATGATTACCAATATCCCAGAGGCCCACTACGACAATTCATATGTTGTGTTGACTTGGCGTGGCTATGGTGCCCAGCTGTTTGGTAAAGCACTAGTCTACCTGCTGTGATACGGTAGTTCTATGTGATCAAATCATTTGTCCTAAGTAAAATAGACTATCTTGAACAGTGTGGTCAAAGCTCCATAAATTAGTGAAAAACATATAGACGTCCGCCCTAAAGTGAAAGTAAGAAGGTAAGGAGGAGTGGGGAAGCTAGATTAATGCTAACAGAACAAGCAGAATAGAAAATAATGAGAAAGTTGACACATTGTGAAAATAAGTCACCAATGTGATGAAATACTTTGTATAACAATTGTTAAATGGGAACCTAATTTGCTGTGTAAACTTACACCTAAAGCACATAGAACATTGTGTTAAAAGAAAGTAGGAAGGGAGTTTCCCTGGGGTGTTTTCCTCCTCTATGCCCTCAACCTTGACAGTTGCATGAAGTAAATCACTCTATATCTATCATATCCCTGAATCTATAGCTTTATCTATCTGTATGTCTCACTTGTCCTGTTCCTCTAGAGAACTCTAAGACAACCCTCAAGTCTCCGGCCTTTCAGCTATCCTTCCAAAAGAAACCTGTCATGATTTTATTGCAGTAGTTTTGACTGCTTTTGAATGATACATATGTGTGTATATGTATACATATACATATTTATATGAGATGTTATAGTATATGCTATTTTTCCATCTGGATTCTTTTGCTCAATATTATGTTTGAGAAATTCATTATATTTTCATCTTGTTATGGTTCATTCATTTTCATTGTTGTATTTTAATGTATGATTATGCTATAGTACATCTTTCTATTTTACTATTGATGGACAATTGAGTCATTTTTCCAGTTTTCAGCTTTTATAAATAATAATATGGTTTTGTACATGTCTTTGAGTGAACAAGGTTATATATTTAGTCAATCAAAAAGTTTTATAAAGTGGTTGTACCACTTAACCAATGTAAACTCCTACCAGGTCTGCAGAAAACTTGCAGTTACTGCAAATATTTCCTAAGTACTTGGTATCGTTAACCTTTTTCATTTTAGGAATTCTAGTAGGAGTATTTTAGTATTTCTTGGTGACTTTAATTTTCATTTTTTCTGATGGATTTGATCACATTTTTATGTCTTTTGACCCTTTGATTATCCTTTTTTGGGGGTGAACTAAATGTTCTGTCCATTTTCAATTGGATTGTCTGTATTTTTATTATCAATTTGTAATTATTTATGCACACTAAAACAAGTCATTTGTTGACCTGTTGGATATATTGCAGAAATCTGCTCTGTAGCTTGTCTTTATTAATGCCAATTATATATGTAATAGAAGTTTTTAATTTTGGTAAGTCTGTGTTTTCTTTTGTGTGTGTCTTAATTTTGTTTTGCCTATCCTAAGACATAGAGGCTTTTCTCCTATATTTATTTTCTCCCAGGAGTTCTGTTGCTTTATCATTCATAATTCTGGAATTGATTTTTGTATCTAATGGGAGGTGGGATTAATCTTGCTCTGTGTGTACTCATCACCATTATAGTTGATTCTTGTTATTCACAGTAATTGTGTTCTATGAAGTCATGACAGACAGCTATTTATTTCTATAGATAAACATATTGTCATCAACCTATCTGTACATACATGTTTTTTAATGATACATATATGTGCAAAAACATTTTACTTAATAAATACTATTGATTACTTAATAAATACATAGACAACAGCATTCTAACTCATTCCAGGATGAACCAGATCTAAAAATCCTTTACCTTGAAGGAGATTTGGACTTATAGAGACTCTGTGGGACAGGCTGCAACTGACCCAACACTGTAATCTTCACAGAAGCACACGGCCTACTTTCTCTTATACATGGTTCCAACAGCTGTGGTGATATGAAACTACTTGGTATGACTCTTACCTACCGTCTTTGTAACTCCCACCAAATGATTGGGTGGGACCATGCTAATGAAAAGGAACCTTTGTCGTAGTGGGCCATGCAACTAGGATGTGTGAAACTCAAATACAGGGGATGGGTCAGATTTGCCATTTCACTGAGCATAAAATGAGGCATTTCAGGAGCTGGAAGAGGAATCTTTTGACCATCAAGGAAGAGGAGTCCCACATGGAGCATGTGTGAGATCCCTGCCTGAACTGGTAAAGGCAGTAGGGCACCAGAGGATACTGGCCATGACCATGATACACAGCAGAGGCGCTGCACCTGGACAATGAGACGAGATGGGCTACTCAACTCACAGAATGAGTAAAGCTGAGTGCCTTTGGGCAGGAGGCTGGGTTGCAGAGTGGGGTACCCTTTGGGCATTCATCATTACTAGGAGCTTTGTGACACTTGCTTGAGTTGGGCAGAGGGATGAGAGGCTGAGGACCAGAGAGAGACATGCCCGCTGGCATGACTGAGAAGCAGCACTATGGACAAAAGGACAGTTTCCTAAATGTTTTCTCACCCTGACTTGTGGTACACCCCACTGTAAAACCCCACAATACATTGTGAGCATTATCTGTGGGTCCTATGTGGCCATTGCAATGTACTGTCGAGCCCAGGCAGAGATGTAGAGTGCCATGGGAGTGATGGTTGGTGTCACAGTAAGATAAATAAGGATGAAGGGTAGAGGCATGTCTGACCTCTGCCTTGTGGCAACTGGCCTTAGGTTGGTGTGGAGCTGGATGCCCCTATCCCATTGTGTGGCCAGCAGAGGTCAAACGTGGCCCCTATGCTATTTCTTTAATGACCAGGATTTCTATTAGCAGGTATGTGCTTAACCTCTGCACAACTTGGACCTCTTGAAGCCTATTTAACACAGGTTTTTTTGCCCCCTGTAAGGCACATCATAGCCTTCTTGCACTTAGGAACACTAGACAGCATTTTAGAGCTATGTGGGGGTAGGGGGATGGAGAACATTGTAAGCAAAAAACTCACCAACAAAAAGCATAGAATATGAAAAATTCGGCATTAAATAGGATATTTGTTTACCATCAGAAAACTGAAACAAGAACTTAGTGCATTGCCTTGTTTGACCTCAGCTGGGAATGTGCGTGTCTCAAATTTTGTTTTCTTTGAGTTTTTTAAAAATGTTTTTCTTTGTTCTTTCAGTGTATTTATAATAGCTTATTTAAAGTCTTTGTCTATAAGTTTAATGTCTGAACTTCTTCAGGAACCGTTTCTATTGATTTCTTTTCTTCCTCTCTGTTTGGGTCATCATCCTCCCTTGCTGCATTGTGCAGCTCTTAAATTATGTGTGGAAAATTAGACATTTAAAAGATGGAGTTAGTTACTCTACAAGTCAGGTTTGCCCTGTATCAGGAGGTCAGGAAGTATTGATGTTTCTACTTGTTGTTTGTTTGTTTAGTGATTTCCTAATTTTGCAAAGTTCATAGTATTTAAAAGATCTGCCCCCTAAAGGCTCTATTTTGTTTGTTGATGTTAGGTGCCCATGTAGTGTCCTCGTGTACAGAAAATGAAAATCTTACTCTTTCTGTGCCATCATTACTATGTCTTAGCCCATTGTTGCAGCCACTGAGTCAACCCAGCACCCACTGCCAGTGACTAATCACGGCTCATAACAACCCTCTAGAGCAGAGTCGAATTGCCGATTAGGAATTCTGAGACTGTAAAACTTTATAAGAGCAAACAACTTCAGCTTTCTCCCAAGGAGGAGCTAGTGGACTTGAACTGTCAGCCTTGTGGTTAATAACCTAACATTTAACCCACTGCCACCAGGGCTCCTGTGTCAATCCATTAGTGCTTTTCTTAAAAAAGAAAAAAAAATTACTGGGCGCTCTTACAGCTTTTATCGCAATCCATACATATATCCATTTCGTCAAAC